CTATATTTGACTGATTAGGCTTAGAAACCAACATGGACCAATCCTATGGGATTTCCTAGTAGCAGGCAAATGTGAACATTACTAACCCGCAAAGAAACTAGACAAAGGGCTGAGAATTCTGCTACACTATATTTCTAATGTGAGTATTAAACCAAGTGAACACTTTGCTGAAATTTAAAAATACAGTAACAGTTTTTTCACTTGTCTATTATGTAACCGCAGCAAATTATTTTGTCTCTGATGAGGGAATCATGAGTTTTTGTGGCATAGATTTCCTTGCCTCTTCCAAAGTCAGTGACTCAGATGCTGTGGTGAGATGTCTTTCTTTCAGATATTTCCCTGTTCAGGTGCAATTATTTTTGTCTTGAAATAGGAATTATCTTTTAATGAACTCCATTTAAATTTCTCTTCCCTATTTTTATGTTCATCTCATTGAATAACATAATCTGAGAAAATATTAACTTGTATTATTTCAGTTTCGTTTCCCAAACTATCTTAATGTAATCTCTCCTTCTCTTTTTTATTTTTGCTATTCATTGGCTTGTACTATCCTCTTCCAGTGCTCATATGCAGCTGTAACGAAAAGACTCTGTTTACACTCTTCCTGATCATTAATACAATGTTAAGAACTGGCGGAACACCAGTCCCTGGGCACTACGGTAGACGCCTTCCTCTTTATGTGACAGACGGTTATTTATCACTCATGCCCCATTGTTTATGCTCCTGACAGTCTGCAGTCCTTGCATGACCCATACTTTCAAAGTTGGATTGAGTGAATTTTTAAATTAAGGTTTTAGGAGGAACTATGTGAAATACTTCACTGATCTGACATCTATGATATCCATTTCATAAACCATAGTCATTAATTTTTAAAAAAGTGTTAACTAGCCACATCTGTCTAGAAAGATGAACACTGATCTTGATCTTCTGAGCATTGGGAGGAGGTGACACCCAGGGGTATCATTTTAGTGTCATGCTTATTACAAATCACTCTACAAGGTAACAAAGATTGCTCATGTGAAAACTTCCAAGTGATTAGTTACAGAAAAGTTATTGTAAATGACTTATAAGCACACACACACACACACACACATATTCATCATCAAGTTAGGTGGGTTTTGAAAACCGTAGGAGTTTTATCCCTTTAGTTATATGTTTTTCTTAAGCATGCCTTTGTTCCCATTACAACTAGGTATTAAAATGAAAAATGATTTGAGAAACTAATAAATATTTCACACAGAGAACTTGATGCCATAGCCATTGTGCTTATAAATCTATTTTCATCATTCTATTTTTAATTTCTATTATAAAAATATTATGGTAGTAATTGTGTTTTTAGAACAACCACTCAATGAACATGCTACTGACAGGTTACTGAACTAAAGGAATTTTTTTGTTACCTATCAGATTGTAAATTTTTCAAATTAATTGCTAAAGCTAATTACGTCTTCTACTACTAAGTTTATCAACAATCAAGTATAGTTTAACAGTTTTATCATTTTTTAAAAATAAGCCAGTGAGATTCAAGGAATGACTAACAGGGCTGTCAGTCATGTGGTCAGTGATGTGGTCATTTAGGCCACTCAAAGTTTTCTCTGAGAAACCATGAGAAGGTTTAGGTTGAGGGGTAACCTGATATGATGTGAATCTTGAAGGGATGCTGAGAACTGTGTGGAGGATGACTGAGTATGGTTGGGGAATTGAGGAAGTCATGAGGTGTGATTTCATAGTCCACCGTCTTCCTTTCTTCCACTACCAAATGGTGATTTAGTGGAAGGCAGCAAAGTTGGTGGTGGAGATTGGGGTTCAGGATTCTATATGCATTTTATTTCTTTGTTAGTGATTGACAACCCATTTATTTAGTATGTATTTTTGGTTGAAGGGTTTGTTTTTTCGTTCACAGTGTCAGAGGTTTCATTCCATGGTAGCTTGGCCACATTGCTGTGTGCCTGTGGTGAGGAAGAGCATCATGATGGAGAGGGTGTGATGAAGCAGAGGTGCTCACTTCATGGTGGCCAGGAAGCAGAGAGATGGGAGAAAAGGGTGAGGGACAAGGTATAACCTTCAAAGGCATGTCCCCAGTGACATACTACCTCTAGCTAGCTCCTACCTCTTAAAGTTTTCACCACCATCTGGAGACCAAGCCTTCAACACATGCACCTTTGGGGGACATTTCATAATCAAGACATAGCAATAACTATATAATTGTATTTTCAAGAAAAAAATATCCTAGAATTTCTGATAGATATGACCAAAAGAAGAGTCAGGCATCTCCCCAAGCTTTTGGCCTGAGCATGGGGATCAAGGAATTGCCATTTACTGAGGTAGAAAAGACAATGGTAAGTAGAAAAACAAAATCAAAAGTTTAACAAATATTTTGATGTATATTTGTGGTAAAAGCAAAGACAACTTTTTTGGTGGGCAGGCCAGTTCCATAGACAAAGATTTTACCTGAGATTCAGTGTGTTACCAACTGTTCACTAGGTTATCACTTTGGAAGACTAGTGGGTAGTTTTCTAACTTGTGAGGATCAAGCTATCTTAACAAATGAAAGCATATGAGCATTTGCAATAATCTGTCAAACTGGAGCTTTTTCAGAGGGTTGCATTATTACTGAAAAATTTTCTTTGTCTTTTATCAAAAAGATTTTTTTTGGTAAGCATTTTAGGTAAATCATGTCACAATTCAGTGTAATAGGGATTGTAGTTTTGGTGAGTGCATTAGCTCCTTTTGAACATTCATAATTAGCTTGATGGTGAATACAAATCCAGTTTAGTCTTTCTTCCTGGAATCTGCTGTCTAAAAGGACGTAGACATAGAACAGTGTGTGTTGAACTTTAGGTAAGTTGCTCTTTCTCATCTTATCAGTCAAAATAAGAATCAATTCTTCTTGGCCTCCTTAAGAGGATCCAAATACAGTACATACAAGTTTCTCTTCTATGTCCCCCACTCAAGATATTAATTTTTTATGGATTTGATCGAGCATGCAGATAATGCATTACAAAAGGTTACATTTTGAGTTTGAGCTCTCTGGACACACCTCAGTATAAATAACCCCTTAATCTTGTTTTAATGAAACATGAGTGTATTTTTAGCTTGGAAGATGAAGAGCACTTTTTATTAAGAATATGCCATGTTGTGTACATCATCTTTGACCTCAAAACACAATGTCATTTGGAGGTTGTCTGAGCAGCAGACAGCAGCAGTGACTGAGAGTCCAGGCACTGGAATTGGCATTGACTTTGCTCTAAACTTGTGGTGTTGTGTTCAGCAAATCATTCCCTCTCTCTGAAGCTTACTTTATTCACCACTAGCTCAAATTTTAATAAGTAGTTAGATTATATAACTGCTAATATGTCCTTCATTTTTAGCATGCTGTCTTACTCTGTTTGGACTACTATGATAAAATACCATAAAGTGGGTAACTTACGAACAACGAAAATTGACTTCTTACAGTTCTAGAGTCTTGGAAGTCCAAGATCAAGGTGATGGCACATTTGGTGTCTGATGAGGATCCTTTCCTGATATATAGATGGCTGTTCCTCTCTTTGTCCTCACATGGTGGAAAGGATGTTAGTTTTCCAGGGTCTCTTTGATAAGGACCCTACTACCAATCAAGGAGGCTCTGCCTACATGACCTATTCACCTTCCAGAAGTCCCATCTCCTATCTTGGGGGCTAGGATTTCCACATACAGAAATTTTTTGGGGGAGAGGAAACACAAAATTCAGACCATAGAACATGCAGTTTTTTTCACACTGAGTCTCTGACACAGAGAAAACTTGTGTTGACAATGTACATCCCTGTGTTTCTATGTAAATGACTCATCTTGAAGGTTCCCCAGGAGGAATGGTTTTCAACAAGGACCGACCAAATTAAAAAATGGAATAGCCACCTCTCATTGATGGTAGGTTATAGGTGTCATATACATATGTACAGGGTGACAAGTATGTCTAATGACTTTCTAGGAAAAACTCTTTTATTTGCTTGTTTAAAATCACAGATACTTAGGAACCCACGTTCCCTGTCTCATGATTTTTTTTATGTTGCACTTTCTAATCTTTCTCTATGGAAAGGTAGCAAACATAAATTTGGGGGAATTTAATAATTGCTTGTTTTACTGAAAAGAAGTCAAAGTTTCTTGTCTTAATTTAAACATGAAAATACAAGGCATAAAGATGTCGGTCCTAAGCCCATCTGTATGTGTACTCAGTGTGGATGAATATGAGGTGTACCATGGCTCTTATTGTAAAACCTCCTCACTTAGATGGTCTGAAAATCTCTCATATGTCATGTCAGAGTATAAAAAGGGGACTGTTGCCATGAGAGAGATTCCATTTAAACATACTCAAATGTCATGAGAGTTGAAGGGTTAGGTTGGAGGTTGGTTCCTGTTCTGGATTTCTTCCATCTGCCTAGTAACATCAGTGAATTTGGGACATATCCTATCTCTCACTTCATGTCCTTTATAGAGGAAAAAGAATGAGATGTGGTGGCAGATCAGTGAAACGAGAACAGCATGAGCCCAAGTACAATGTAAATATTCAATGCAAAGTCATGATGCATTGATGGGATGCTCAGAAAAGTTGTGCTAAAAAGGACCGGAAGTTGTGGATGTGTGTGCATGCTATGACCTTCATTTATGTCACAGCTTTGTCTGCCATGTTCTTGACAGTGGTTTTCAGATCTCAGCTCCCCTAAGGTGGTTACACATTCATTCTCCTGGCGAAAAACAAGAGCACCACACTTTTCACATCAAAAATTTGTCTCCTAGAAGGAAAGTACATAAAAAAAGTACATTCAGTGACACATGACCCTGAGAAAAACAATGGCTGATTTTAAAAGATATTCAGAAATGGGTAGAAATATTAGCATATTCAATATATACAGGGTGCCATTTCTCCTGAGACTAATTTATATTTTTGTACAAATTAAAATACCAAAAGGATTTTTGGAGGCATTTTAGCTAAGCTAATTGTATTGTTTGCATGAAAATATAAGCATGGGACAGGACAGAGATTACTGAGTGAAACACTTGCTCGTGTGTTGATGTGTGAGAGAGCCCAGCGCTTGGACATCTTCACGTGTGCCCTGGAGGTAGGTTGCCTACATTCACATCCACTTTTGCCACTGATTGGCTGTGGTGCCTTGGAGAAATCATGAAATGTTTCTGGGCTTTGTCCAGCTTTTTTTTGTAAACCTGGGTAAAATAGTACTGATCTGATAGAATTGGTGTGAAGATGAAATGGATGAACACATTTAAAGTGCTTAACCAGTGTGAGTTAGCGCAGCAGTAGCATTTACCACCTCTGTCCATCAGCACTCACCAACGCTACAGAAAAAGAACCAACTACATATGAAGGTTTATATGTGATGCAGGTATATTGTAAAACATGAAGGAAAGTATTATTCAAGAAATGCTGTTCAGAAAACTAGCCATCTGGAAAAAAAATTGTAGAAATTTTCTTAAGCTAAAAAATTCCCTTAAGCTAAAAAGTTCCTGATGGGCTAGTTTTTTAAATACTTAAAAGTTAAGACATACAGTTTCTTATGAAGCTAAACATGTATTTATGATTAAGCAATAAATCATATATATATATGAAACATATATCCATACAAGTTCTTTTATGCAAATATTCACAGAGGCTCTATGATAACCCAAACAGGAAACAGTACAAATATTTCTGCACAGGGGAGTGGGTAAACTACTGGTGATGTATTCATATGATTAAATACTACTTAACACTAAAGGGAATGAGCTACTGAACATACAAGAACATGGGTGAATTTTCAAAGCACTGTGCTAAGTGAAATAAGCCAGACATACTGTATGATTCCATTTATATGAAAATCTACAATAGTCAAAATGTGATTAAAACCGGGTCAATGGTTGTTTGGAGCCAGGAATGGGAGAAGACTGAAATCAAAAGGCATGTTTGAGAGTAATAGAAATGTTTTATATATTGATTGTGGTGATTATCCAACTGTATACATTTGTCCAATCTCCAAATTATTTCATACTAAAATGGATGAATTTTATTGCATGCAATAAAATTAATTAAGGCAAAAAGACAATAGCAGTTTTAAAGCATGTCCTTGATGTTTTTCTACTCTCTTCCCACCCAAAGGCAGAGTATATTCTATACTAGAATGTGACCTCTGTGATTGCTTGACCAGTGGAATGTCTTTCTCTCTCTGGAGTTCTTACTTTTCTCTCTTTGAAGACAATCACCAGTCAGCAAGTTAAGCCCATGGAAAGAGCTCAGCCAACAGGTAGAACTGATGGTAAAATGCCCTAGGGTAGATACTTTTGAGGTGACTCAAGTTCCTGGTACTTTCAATGACACGAAAGGCTATGAGTGAGAACCACCCAGGTGAAGCCAGTCTCCAGGTCCATGGGAGACAATAAGAAAATGTTGGATGTTGTTTTTTAAGTCACTGTATTTTAGGTGTGATTCATGGCGTAGCATCTGGTAATTAGAATGAAAGATCTGTAAGAAAATATATTAAGATAATTTATAAATATGAACTATTCAGGTCACAAAATGTATAAGCTGTGGAAGAATGAATTGATAAATATATTAGTAAAAATCCTAAATATTTCTATAGTTAAAAAGTAACATAAAGCCAAAATTAAAGAACAAGCTAGAGAAAATGTTTGCCATACATACAATATAGTATTTATTTTACTATACTAATACACATTTATAAACCAATAAGAAAAATCAACACACTAGACCACAAGTATATCTCAAAAGTAAAAAATAAAAATGATGAATTAAGATAGCTTTTATACATATGCAAGGATGGTCATCCTCACTTATAACAAGAAATAAGAAAACAATACTGCAATACAATGACCATTTTACTCACAGAATGGGTGAAGATAAAAAGATGATTCAAATTGTTGTATCATGTAAGGAGCTGTTAAATAAGCTCTTTAGGATGCTCTTTGCTGACTTTGTAAATTGGCTCAACCTCCTTGGAAGACCATTTAATTTTAACTATCACAGTTTAAAATGCAAAAAAACTTTGTGTTAGGAAAATAACAATAGCTTCACAAAATAAGTTTTTAAAAAATTATCCAAGTCTACTACTGTATGTATCAAGATAGGGTTGGAGGTCTGTGCCACTCAGACTTTCAGCTATCCTTACAGTGCTGCAGGACTTCACAGTCTTTATGAATTGTCCGCGTAGGATGGCTGGTGTAAGAGAGATTACATGGGGGCTGGTGAGATGCTGGTATTGGTGGGGTTTAACAGTTATAGTAAATTTGAGAGTTGGATTTATTTTAAAGTTTCAATATTATACAAATATGTTTTATTCCTTTCAACAACTATTCTCTCTAGGTTTCTTTTACTTTAGCTAGGCAACTTATAAAAGGGTGTCCTTAGTATAAAAAATTACCCATTTCAACTTTTCTGCAATTTAGAGGCCTTGCATTTTTAAATAAAAAAATCACAGTAAAATATTACTCTCACTTGTGTTAGAAGAATTAAGAAGGAAAAAAATCACAAATAATTTAAGGATATATATTAATATTTCATATCAACACCCTTCTTGGAATGAAAACCGCTTCTCTATTTCTGGCTCTTCATGCTTTTCAACAAATAATATGCATGGAAAAGGTATATTGAGATTTCATTTATTTCTGTAATTGATTTTTGGATCACTGTTATTGGAACATGTTTTGATATCTGTTTCTTAAGAATTCCCTTGATATGAGACACAATGTGCAGATGTTGAGTATTTGTCTGCATTTATTTGAATCAGAAGCTAAAACTGGTAACATGACAGCCTTAAAAAATTACATCTTCCCAATTATATTAAAAAAGGCAATCAGGAAAAGATCTGAAGATCTTTAGACAGATGTAATTATGTGCACTGGTATAAGATATTTCTTGGCACTTTCTTTAATAATACCTGGGTTCCACTTAAACAGACTTTTTAACCTAGTGCCACAGTGCCCCGCCCCACTCATATCTTTGTAGCTCTGAATATGAATGTACTCACCACATTTTGCATCAGAAAATTAGAACTTTTACTCATTAATCAGTGATCAGGTCAACTGTTATTTCCTCTGTGAAATAGCTTTCCTTCATACACGTTATTTTCAGAGATTAAAAAAACCCAAACATAAATGATGGTATCATCTTATATAATTTCAAGATAAATATCATTACATTTTTTTCCTGCTCAGGTAGGACCTGATCTTGTGACTTGATGTTGGCCATCCACTATGAGTCCAGACTAACCCTCCACAGAACTGGACTATTTCTCTTTTCCCTCCTGACCTGCCATTGGCTTCCCAGATTGCCATGATACTCAGGTCATTTGGGTTATGATAAAAGTATGGGATTTGGTAAGAAATTCTTCTTTATCCTAGAAATATTAATCTGTTATTTGTATATCAGATGTTATACCAAACAAGAAAACAATGGGCATCTCACCATATTCCTTCCATAGACTCTCTTCTGCCACTATCTGCAGCTCTGTGTCTGAGGGATTTTTTTCCCTCAAACTCTCAGAAAGATGCCAACAAGCAAAGAACTCACCTGTTTTCTCATTATGCTCTGA